GACGATTTGAGCATTGTGTAAAAGTCATACTGAGGCGAGTGAGTTTCAGTGAGTAGTGCTGCAACTTCATCACCCACCACTGAAACATCAGTCTGTTGTAGTTGTCAAAAATATGCTTAGTCCTTGCAGACTATGGCACTATTTCTACTACTACTAATTGTTTAATCATGTGTCTATCACTGAATAGTCCAGATCGGCTAATATTCTTGAAATACATATAATGTCATCTAAGTCTTTAACTTGGGAAATTGATAATCATTTTATCACATTAATACATTAAAGCTGTCCCTCTTTGCTAGTTTCCACATTATCCTAATTGAGTGCAAATTGGTTAAGAGGGTGCAACATGGCAATCAAGCTCCTTAGTTTTATCAGATGACGATTTAAGTCTGGGAGATCCTATTAGTCAGAAAGCTGCTAATGTTTAAAGGCGCTGTGTCAGCTTACTATAGGGGTGGGGGATGGGTGACAGCAGATGACAACAAAATCATGGAAAAGGGAGGGTAGCTGTGTCTTTTTATTATTGTAGTGGGTTAACATTAATATGTTACATGCATGTTTGCTATTTATACAATTTTAACATTTCAAACTGTTACTGGTGTTTGTTTTAAACATTTTTGGATCTGTTTTGCTATAAGCAAAATTACATATATCTTACTCAACAATTAATTATGATTTTATTACTAGATGGTATGTAAAAAGTTAATTTATTAGTTAGATTACTTTAGTTATAAGTATTTAAACATAAATCTGGAAATGAAGTGTGCGGTGGCATTGGTTTTGAATTTGACACAGTCATGGCAGCTTGCACTTCTTTTCCACTCATCCAGATTAGGGGTTTCTCTGAATTGTTTAATCTTACTTTGCCTTTCAAGTCAGTACAACTGTTAGTTTACAAACCAATTTAACAAATACAGTGCATGATGAATACATTTAATTTGGATCTAAGTTTCTCCATGCATGTTCTGTAGGGCTTTGTTTGTTTGTTTACAAAGAATCACTGGCTTCCTCTTCTTCCTCTTCCACTGTTTTGGTCAGGTCTTCAGGCAGCTCGATATAATCTCCAGTCATCTTAACTCTGGCTGTGTCCATTGCACTCTGTAATGTAAAAACAATTATTAATACAATAATTCTAAATAATAATGCAATCATAATTTAGTGCACATTGTGTGTACATCTGTAATCTTACAAGACCCATTAAACCGTGGGAGATACAGCTTTGACAAAAATGACATGTTCTTTCCTCTGAGCTCAAATTCTGATCAGGTTTACTTTTATTGAGTTTTAAAAATGCAACAGAATATTTTTTCCTAAAAATATCAAAATTATTATTTCAGAACCATGGATACAGGCGAACAACAAATTGATTGTACTAAGAATAAAATAAAACTCTGACACTCTGAAGTACTAACAACTGTGTCCTAACAGAATGATAATGTATAGTAAAGTAAACATAAGCAGACAGCTTTAGCTTTCCTCAACAGGGCTTTATTATTATGTCAGTTATTATATAGAGTTCAGAATTGTCACAGCCATGTTACAATAATAAAAAACACTCGAAGGAGAATCATTTTACATTAATACAGTGTCACAGTTTAATACTAAAAACATAATGCCTTCTTTAAATCCAAGGTGTGTAGCATTTTTATTTCAGATTTCACAAACATCACCTCTTTGTGTCCTCAGATATAAGATAAACATGGTGAAATCAAATATTGCTCTTATTATAAGCGTAATGTCAGTCTATTCTTAATCACAAAAACATTGGACATGTTACCCGAGTTGTTGATGGTTTCAACTGGGATTTTAGTTCATAAGACAATTAGCTGATCAGAAGGCAGAGTAAGCCTCACAAATCTCTCTTGCTGAAATCCAGTTGATTTGAACATAAAAGACTCTGATCAAATTTTCAATACCTAAACTCTAGCACAGCAGGAAATCCTTAATCGGAATTCTGGAGGTTTTGAGTTTTCATATGAGGCCTGTCCTTATACTGAAAAAGAGAAAAACTTGTAAAACTTGAAAAACATGTATCCTTTAAGCACTGGCAACCCAGGTTTAGTTCTGATTGTGCTACCTTTTTTAAACCAGTGTAAACTACGTATGCTTTTAAAACCTTTTGTCATACTATTAGTTCACTTACATTACACTATAATATTAATATTGTTACTAATCACTAATCAAATTTATGTGACTGGCCTCTCTAGTTTAGGATGTCTCTCCTGTCTGCATGTTTAGTGTGTTGTTCACATTGTTACGGCTCCAGGCCTTAGGCAAGGCAAGGCAAGGCAAGGCAAGTTTATTTGTATAGCACAATTCGTACACAAAGTAATTCAAAGTGCTTAACAGAATAAGAAATACATTAAAATCATAATAAAAACAAATCAAAACATAAATAATCATGAAGATTAAAATTAAAAAAGAGAGACATAAATTGGAGAGAGGAGTGCGGAATGAAAACCTTTCAGTTATATGCACAGTTAAACAGAAATGTTTTGAGTCTGGATTTAAACAGCGTCACAGAAGATTGTGATTTGTTTTGTGCGTGTTCTAAATTATTCAGCTGACACACCTCGATTCCTGCTGTGGGAGCCCTAGATTGTGATTGGTGGGGCATGTCGACACCCATCTCACCTGCAGTCACCTCCCCTTTTTTGATTAGATTGCCAGCACCTGTTCCGGGCTGCTGGCCTTGGTGGCCATTATGCCATTTAGTGTTTGTTTGTGTGTTTACTTTAGTTCTGTTTTGTGCATTTTTTGATTTGGTCACTCGATTCTGTTTGTGGGTTTATGTGGTTTAATTTGGGGAACTTGTGTTTAGTTTCGTGTGTGTCCCTTAATTTTACCACTCGTTATTGTGTAAGCCTGCGTGACCCCTTTTGTGGCACAAAACCCGTTGTCTGTAGTTTTGTTTCTTAGTTAGGTTGTTTTCTGTATATTTTAGTCTTTTGTTAATTTGCCTTTACATTCCTGTTAATTAAACATTATTTAATTTATTCCATTTTACATCTTGGTTTTATTTTTGTTACTTCCCTCACCCCAAACGAGCTGGGTCGTAACAACATATGTTTAGTAGTCACTCCCCTGTCCTCGTTTAGAAAGATTAACCCTGTCTTGACAGAAGTACACAAGCTCATTCTACAGACGTGCCTTTTGTCCAGTCCATACTGACTGTACTGAACAATATTAAACATACTGTATATTCATGTATAGTAAACAAAGTCTTTTATTTTATTATTATTTATTTATTTTTTGTCTTTGTGCTACTTATTTAAAATGTATTATTACTTTTTTTTTTCTCTTTGTTACTATATTATACTGTGATGAGTGAGCTATTGTGTCCAAATAATTTCCCTCATGGATCACTAAAGTTTGTCTAAGTCTAATTTTGTAAAGCACAAATTATGCTGTCAATTCTTTTATATTTATATTTTACTATGCACTGTAAATAATACTGAAATCCTGTTGCCAAACACAGACTCTTCCAAACTTGAAATGCCTAAAATGTCCACATACAGTACAGATATTACTAAAACATTTTGTCTTTTTCAGAGTCTCAGATCATTTCCTCATTGTTTCATTATATTCTAAACTGCTTACTCCAAACTGCCATGTGATTAAATCATTATTGTTTTAAGGTGGTCTGGGTTTAAATATGTTTAACACTGAGTGTTTAAAACAAAGCCTGAGCAGTTATTACTCACAGAGTCTAATCTTCTCTGCTAATTTGAGCCACAGGGAACTGAACCCTCACCCAGGCCTACCCTTTAAACCTCTAGCCGACATCGTAGGCTCATGAGCGTAACACGTAATCACAGGCTCTAGAGCGCTTCGAAGGATCAGGTAAAAGCTAATGCTAAGGCAAACATTTTCATATATAGATAATTCAGATGCTCTTTTTGGAACAGTTTTTCAACTACACACTTTTTGGACAGAGCAACTTTCATTTGGGGATTTTAGGGCTTAGAAAAAATAACATATGATCCAATGTTTTGTAATGTATGAGATCAGTGTGAAATAAGATAAATTAAACTGTCATTTTTACTGTGTAGTTGTATATCCATGGCTTTCTGATGGGTGATTAAAATGGGAATTGTTGCTGACAATTAATAGTTTAAGACTAAAGAATTTTGAATAGTAAAAACCCATAGTTTGTCAATCTTTTTGCAAATTTTATGTCAGTTATATTTTAGTTACTAGGGATGTAACAATAATCAAAATATCGTGATATTGTATCATCAAAGTTCTCACAATAATATCGTGGACCATCATAATATATCAAATTGCAAGTCTCTTTGCTTAAATTAAAAGTTATGGTGCAGCAGTAGCTAAAAAAGACAGAGGGAACTACATAGACCATGGTCCTTTGCTCCATTTCAGTGCAGACTACAAGAAGAAACAGTTCTAAGCACTTTTAAGTCAGTTCTTTGGATTAAGTCTTGTCAAGGCATTTTAAGATGAAAAAGTAGCAGATTAACAGTTTGTTAGACTCCACAAAATATCACAATAAATACTGTACCGTGAGATGTGTATTCAGAAAATATTGCATAAATATCAGAGATATTGATCAGAGATTTGGATATTGTTACATCCCTAATCGTGGGCCTCCCCACCATATCGTGAGCTTTCCTACAATATCGCAATAAATATCGTACCGTGAGGTTCATACCGTGACGATATCGTATCGTGAGACTTAAATATTGTTACACTCCTAACAGTTACTCTATATGCTATATCATCTCAGTCCCCATTTCAGAAGTATATTTACATAACTGAGAAATATTTGCATTATATTTACATTCATAATAATGCACTTTATTGCAGCTCTACTGAAACATAAGACATAACAGACGTACTTACTCTTCTTGTGCTCTTTGAACTCCTTTAGGTTCAGCAGTGTATCTCCCGGCTCATCCTGTCCCACCATGGTCCCCTCCACCTCCTCCAGTAAAACAGCTTTACTTTGTCCCCACGTCCTTACTCATAAGGAAAGCCATAACTTCACTCAGATCATAAAGAGCAAAGTCAGGGGGAAAGTGTCTTCTGAAAGGTGAATGGGAAGAGCTAGTCACCTACTGTACATCCTTACCAAAATGAAACCTTGGCTTCTGTATGTGCAAATGATTAAACTGTATCAATAACAATCAGTGATGTAAAACCGCTAAAGAGCTTACCTCATAATTGGCAGCTTGCACACAATGTATCTGTCTCGCTCATTAGGTGCAACAGGATTGGTCTGAGCTAATGCTGATACTGTTTACTGTCTGTAGATCAGCTCTATTAGCTGGTTATGCTCTATACTCTAATAAAAGGGTCTCCAGTGCCAGTGAGCTACCTTTAAAAAAGAAAATGCCAAAGAGCTACTAATTTTAGAAAGAAATTGAGCATAGGAAAGCCTTAGATGGGGAACAGTTAGATACCTATAAAACTTAAATCTTTATCCAATTAATTAGTACACAAAGTTAGGCACCAAAATGATAAATTTACAATGGAAGTTCATCAAATTTGAGTCATTCAGCACAATATCTATCATTCAAAAATCCTTTGGCGAGCTGTTTGGAAGGGGGTGGAGAGCTAACAAATGTGAGCTTCTATCTGTAATTGTCATGAGGATTGCTACTTGCTTGAATTCCGTTTTTTAACAAATGTCCACACACACACACTACACTACACACACACACACACACACACCTACAGACAAACACACGTGATTCATCAGGGGTGTCAAGCTCAAATTCTCACAGGGCCAAAATTTAAGACTGGGACTATGTTGTGGGCCAAACTAAATATTTATTGAAAAATTTCAACAATATCTGTATGTTTTCTCCTCTTTCGAAATATATAATATTAAACCTTTTGTTATTAAAATAAATGTTTAATAATAGTTTTGCTTAAACATTGAATCTAGAACAAGCATAATGTAAAATAATAACTAAATTTTAAACAAATAATGTCTCTATAGCCTATATGTATACAGCGGGCCAGCTCTAATACATTTTTGACATGATGTCACGGGCCAAATATAATTATATCGTGGGTCAAATTTGGCCCCCGGGTCTGAGTTTGACATGTCTGATTATAGAATGTTGAGTTGAGTAACATGAGAGAATGTTATGGTAATAACTTATAGGGTATTGTATGACTGGTTTAGTGGATTTTTGAGAATAATCTGTTTCATTCAGTGTTTAAAGGGGCTTTTCGCTTACCTTTGTGTCCTGACACCTACGGGTCAGAGGAATACACTTCCTAATCAGATGTACCGATTAGAGAGAAAGTATTTTAAGGCCACCGTTTCTTCCATGACGTAAACCCTTTGTGGCTCTTTGACAAAGTGCGACGACATTTAACCCTGTTTGTGTTATTTTTAAATCAATATTCAGTAAATGTTTAATCTGTCAGTGACTAGACTATGTACTATAAAGCAAGCTCCAAAAACATTACAGCACGCATACACAAATACTCTAAATATAATACTCTAAAATGACCAGACAACATGGAACTTTACCATCTGGGTTGATATTTTTTAACATTTTAAACTCAAAAGAAGATGGAAATAAAAGGAAAAGGAATTGTTTTAATTTGCGGGTTTTCTTTAGACGTAATGCTTTTGTTGTTCTCACATTGACTGCTGTAATTGTAGGTAACTACTAACTTCCGATATTTGGATTTGTATTGTGTTAAGTTTTCCTTCTTTTTTTCCCCATCATTTTTTATGAGGTCTTTAAAATTTTTTGCTTAAGGAGTTTCCCTCGGGTTTTGGCTGCGGACATTTGACATGGGAGCCCAGGAAATTCTCTACGTCAGTTTTCCTGGAGAGGTGCTCATGAGAGTGCTACAGCAGATGGTGCTTCCACTGGTTCTATCTAGTTTAATTGCAGGTTAGAGTCACATTTTTGGTTGAATGAAAATGTGTTAGGTCTCACTGTTTTACTTGTTAGGGATGTCTTCTTTGGAAAAGAAAGTGTACAGCAAAATTGGACTTCGAGCTCTTGTCTATTATGTGGTAACTACAGTAACTGCAGCGTTTACTGGCATTGCCCTGGCCGCTATTATCCAACCTGGAAAACTGTCCAAAAAGTCAGAGATGTCCACAACTCAAAACTCTGATGCTCAAACAGTGGACTCCTTTCTAGATTTACTCAGGTGCACAAAAAAGTTTATATAATATATATACACATCACACATTCATTTAGTTTTTCAATCTTTCTGCTTAAACCTTCAGAAACATGTTTCCTTCAAATCTTGTGGAGGCTTGTTTTCAAAAGGTATATATGAAATAATATGTCATAGAAAATTATATGTTGGCATATTCTGGCAAAGTTAAATGATGATTAATCCTGTTTGTCTATGTTTCTTCTAGTACAAAACTGAATATGTCTCAAATGAGAACAAGGTTGTACTCAATATGACTGAAGGTAGAATGATAAGTGAGTTTTAAAATTTATTATGCATTATACATCCTTTATAGTCTAAGATTTATCTGTTTCCAATAATTTGACAAGGTGCTATTTATAATGGAAATTACAGTTATGCTTTGTTTCATTTCTACTGTATATTATGAAGCAAACTTCAATAGTTTTGATTTATTTTATTTATTTAGAAAAGAGACCATACATATTAATGAACATCTGTGTTATATGTAAATAAAAGTGACTTTTTTTTTTTTTTTACCTTTCTTTCTGTTTCTGTATACTTGTTGTTGTACATGTTGTTGCAGAAATAGTTGCAGAACGACTCTGTATTTGTTCTGTTCCAGATGAGACTATAGCAGTCCCAGGGTCTTCAGACGGGCTAAACGTATTGGGGTTGCTGGTTTTCTGCACTGCATTTGGTCTTGTCCTTGGTGGTATGGGAAGCAAAGGACAGCCACTTAGAGACTTTTTCACCTGTCTGAATTTGGCCATTATGAAACTAATCAACATTGTGATTTGGTATTAACAAATGTTAAACATGTCTGTTAAATAGAGAAAAGTTTGCCAGTGACTGTGACTGTGTTTTCTTTCTACAGGTATAGCCCAGTGGGAATCCTCTTCTTGTTGGCGGGTCAGATTTTAAAGATAGACAATTTAGCACATATAAGCCGTGGAGTTGCCATGTACACCGTGTCTGTGATTGTTGGCCTGTTCATTCACAGCTTTGTCACCCTTCCTCTCATATATTTCATTATCATCAGGAAAAATCCCTTCAGATTTATGATTGGTCTAATCCAGGCTCTGACCACTGCTTTTGGCACATCATCCAGGTTTGTACTACGAAATCACACTTTTACAAATAACTTTTAATATAATACTGTACTACTTTAGCTCTGCGACCCTCCCTGTTACCTTTTACTGTATGGAGGACAATCACAAAATGGACAAACAAGTAACTCGCTTCATGCTGCCAGTTGGAGCAACAATGAACATGGACGGTGCTGCACTTTATGAGGCTGTAGCTGCTTTATTCATCGCACAAGTGAATAACATTGACTTCAGCATTGGTCAGATTATAATCCTCAGGTATGTTTTTTTTATATTTTACATGAATATGTCTACATTACATTGCATAATTTCACTGTATCTCTTGTTCAGTTTCATAGTCACAGCTGCCAGCACTGGTGCTGCTGGGATCCCACAGGCCGGGATGGTCTCCATGCTGATTGTCCTAACATCAGTTGGACTACCTGCAGAAGGCATATCTCTCCTCATGCTCGTGGATTGGCTTTTGTAAGTACCGTATACTATACGGACTATAAGTCGCTTCGGAGTATAAGTCGCACTTTTTGAGGGAAATTAATTTTATAAAATCAGAGACCAGGAAGCAGCATTTTATCTTGAAAGGCAAGTTATAGTAGTAACAATAGAACAGAAAACACCAAGCTGTTAACATCACATATTAAGAGTTCTTCAGATAACTATAGCACAAACAACAAAACAAGTTTACCAGCCTCTCCAGCTCACTCCAAATCACTAAATCCATTGTATTCTTCATTCTCTGTGTCACTTCTGAGCAACTTCATGACCTCCGAAGGTAAAAGGAGCAGCGCTTCCTCTTCTGTGTAGCTGTCGTCAGACTCAGCATCAGTTCCAGTTAGAATTATTCCAGCCTTTCTGACTCTCAACAGGATGGTTTCAGTTGTCACTGAAGTCCAGGCTTTGTCGATCCATCCAATGACTTCCAGGAAAGTTGCTGGTTTCCATGAAGCTGTGTTCTCCATCCCCGCATTTCTCCAGTCCCTCACAAGTTTCTCACTCACTCCAAGCTTTTTTTCTACTGCTCGATTACCGTTTTCGACTGCATATTTTAATACTTGCAGCAGGACATAAGCTTTTTCTGCTGGAGACATGCACAGTAGAGGACATAGTGTCAGTGGCATAGAAATAATAGGAGTAGCAGACACTGGCACACAAGCCTACAGCGCCCTCTCGTGGCTGTCGGTGTGAATATTTTGATATATAAGTTGCACCGGAGTATAAGCCGCAGGAAAAAAGTGTAACTTGTAGTTCGAAAAATACGGTAGTTGAAAGGTAAATGTATGTACAGCAAACAACGTTTATATCTGTGGCAAAATGTTCAGTCATTTCCATGATGACACAATGCACACATTAGCCAACACTGCTACAAAAAAGGAGCCTGTGATCAATATGAGCATTCATGGTAAGGTTTTGGTGTCTGATGTTCAACAGAAAGGTGAGAGTTTAGCTTGTGAGAGTTTAGCTAACTTGTGACTGTAATGTTATTTGAGAGACACTTGTTTAACAGCACAAAAATCTCACCTGTCCTAGCTACATCAGTTCTGTCTGATAAGATTGTGTTACTATAAAAACTAGATTCAGATTAAAGCCTAACAAAGCCTCATACAGAACAGTGCTCACAGTTAGCTTCACACCCCTATGAAATGTTGATTTTGTTTGTGTTTGCAGAGATCGGCTGAGGACTGCTACAAATGTACTGGGGGACTGTATTGGTGTAGGGGTCGTTCAGCATCTGTCCAGACATGAACTGCAAACGCCAGCTGAGTAATATATATGTTTTCAATCTACAAAAATATGACATGTTTTAACCACTGGATGTATGAGAGTTCAAAGCTTTAATGTAGATTGAGATGTGTTGCACTAGTAAATCTTGACAATCCCAAAAGCCAAGTGTTCACTAAATACAGTCATGCAAGGAAATGTTATTTTCTGTTTTAAAAGGACCAAATCCACTTGCTACCAAACTTGAATTCAGCAATGAATAAACTGCAATAACCTGTTTATTGTTGACGCAGCAACAACAAAACGAATACAGTTCCCTTGTTGTTTCTGCTTTTGTTACTGTCTAGCACCATCTTGTGTTGAATTGGCAGAACACAGCGTCTCTTTGACCTAATTCTACATGCACTTTACTGCATGTGGAAGAATTCCTAAACATAGCTGCTTGATGTTTTATTAAAAGGCACGTGAGTGTGGTGCATTTGATATACTAGTATAGGTTGCATTTAATTGTCCATATCTACTGAAATTTAGGTCACTCTATTATTTATGTAAGTCATATTCCATGTAGCAATTGATTTAGATTTTCTAACCACAGTTTAATTCCTATTGTCCTAGCATTACCTGTTCTGTAGGTGTGAAAATAAAAGCATAGATAAACCTGGAAGAACGAGGGCAAGCCTAATTCCAACTCTATTCAATACACAGTGTGATTAATAGGGAACGTTAAACACACCCAAAATCCAGTCTTTATACTCAGCTCGCAGCCATTTGCAGCAGGAGGAGAATGGTTTGGCATGGTATCGCCCAGAGCTCTGTGCAGCTACAGCAGAGCATGTGAAGAGCAGCTAGTGGAGGAGGGGCTTTGGTCTGAGTGTGCGCGCTGTGGAAAACTGGTGAGAAAATACTCAAGAGAGCAAGAGGCGGGAAGATGCTGCTGTTGCCAGGGAACAGTACTGAAGGAGAACCGACCATGTTGTCCAACCAGAGGATCACAACATCACAGATCAAAATCAAGTGAACGAGGCAGGACCTGACAGCACCAGCTTGGATATTTCTGCATCTTCTGCCGCAACTGTTTCACGAATAAGGTAGGCAGCACCATTACATAACACACATGAACACAGCTCCCATATGGTGACATCATCATCGCAGCAGGATTATTGCATTAGAAAGGGGAGGGGGTCTGCCGTGGTCCGTGACATATCAGTGTAATGAGAGGGAGCAGAAAAGAAGCAAAGGATTATCTGCTAAAATCACAATAATTACAAGACTGTTGTTAATGGTGACCCAAAATGTCTCTCCTTCTGCTTTCTCCCACTGCTCTCTGCCCTCCTCTGTTAGGAAAATCTGCAAACAGGAAGCTCTGGTCCTGATCGTGCTCGGCTCCCACCTGTGAATGTAAACAGACAGGAGCGCTGGTCTGCTTTGAGGAGGAGGAACAGAGTCTCAAGAATCAAAGGGAAAATCAAGCAAACCGACGGGATAGTCCTCCTGATATAACGCTTTATGTGAGTACATAGCTTTTAACAGTGTCCTTTCATGAAAACAAGCATGTCTTTAACTGAAATACAGTTTTGTATAGTGATTTTGTTGTAGTTTACTTTTAAGTGTGTGGTGGAGAAAACAAGAATATCAAGTTACAGTACAAACAATTTCATGTCCAAGCATAAAGGCTCTGAGGTTAACTAACCAGAACTAATTTATAACACAGTAGCATTGTATTCATGGGAACAAATTTCTATGGACTTACACAATCATCATTTAAAGATTCTATGTTACGCAAAACAGACTCATGTGAGCTTTAAGCCATGTTATAATGTCGTTATCTCCTCAAAAGCATGCCTGGAATTGTGTTTTGTTTTGTTCACACATGTTTGAATAATCCATGTTTGACTTTCTGCATCTCCAAAGCTCAAAATGCTCCACCCTGTGATGTTGTTAAGTTGTAGTTTTAAGGTTAACAACTGTACTTTTGCACAGTTGAGATTGTCAATTAAAAGTCTCTGATATTTCCTGGCACACTAATATTCGCTGGCACACCGAGGAGTGAGGCAGTGATGCTAAAACAACAGCTGTAACTTCAATGTTTGGCAAATTCAGGGCTGAAATTATCAAAGTGATCGTGGTGAAGGTGTATTGAGTTTAAAAATGCAGTGAAACATTTCCTTCATTACCACTTAATGACATCACAAACAGGAGCAGAGTGTGAATGAAACTAAACACAACTCCAGGTATGAGTTAAGGAAACAGCATTATACCATGGATTAACTTTAACTGTAGGAAATAATAGTCTTTAGATATTTACAAGTGAAAATCAAATCAGTCATTATCCAGTCAAAATGTCTAGTTTAACAAAATTACATACTTCATAAATTGTGGTATTTCGCTTTGTCCTTTCTTTACCTCTGTTGCTGCTTATCTGTAAATCAGATTATTTTGAGTGCAGCCTGAATTGCACACATCAAACTAACAACATTATCAAATCAATGTGCCTGTACTATAACCTTTCTGGCTACTCTGTGGTGCACTGTTTATTACATTGTCCCGTAGCAGTCAGCTCTCCTGAGATTGTGATCAGGGCAAAAATGGGACTATTTTGCCATCTGGACTCCAATCCTCCCAAACACGTGTGACTGGCGTAACATTACTTTGTATCGGTCAATCACCAGCTCCCTTTATGAGCAGCTGAGCCCACACGCACAGGGCTGCTGTTTACATGTGAATCCCCCTCTCTCTACGCACTCCCTTCTTTTACTTTATCCTTTGAATCCACTGTCAAAGCAGTGTGTCTCAGGATTATTTTGAGAACACATCTAAAGTCGCAACAAAGACAGTGTGTTTTTGGTGGAGTTTTATTGAAGTGGCAATCAAGGAATTCCCACCATCTATTACATCAAAAAAGGCAGTGGATTCCCATTCATTCATCTTGCTTTTGTGTTTTTCATTTACCTTTTTTCAAAAGTAAGACAATATTCTAGCATTTTCACTATTTACTGTTAATTAAAAAGCACTGTTTTAATTAAATGTGCACTGCGTAAATTATCTGGTGGACTGGCTGCTATGAGATTGATTGATTAATTCATTTTATTTCAAGTTTGTGCCAAAAGAGAAACAATGATCATGTAGACTACATATTAGGGATGTAACAATAAACAAATTATCGTGATATTGTATCATCAAAAGTCTCACAATAATATCGTGGGCTGTCACAATATATCGAATTACAAGTGCCTTTGCTTAAATGCATGGGTTTATAATAACAACATCTTATAAACATAAGGAACTACATATCCCATGATTCATTTCAGTGCAAACAACACCGAGATGCATATCGTGATAATATCGTACCGGGAGATTTGAATATCATTACATCCCTACTACATATACATTGTAAACCACAGAAAAGCACATTACTCGAAAAGGAGTGGGAAGAAGAAAAACTTATATTAACCCAGCCCTGTTCTTGACATATTTAAAAAAATTATGTGGTTGCTTATGTATATTGACAAATATGTATATATAGCAAAATAAATTACATTCTATGCATACAAAATACAATTTTAACCCAAAACCTTTTTTTTAATGTTTTTTGTAGATGTTATCTGTCTCAATCAGGTGGTGTCATCCAGTTCAGTTCAGTTCAGATCTGTGGCCTGGCGACCTTACTCACACTAAGAATGCATGTTGTTCTGGGTGTTTTTGAACAAAGGAAATGGTAATCTGAATAATCCAGACAAGGAAATAGAGACAAGCAGATAATGGGCCCCCCAAGAAAAAAGTTACATGTTTAAAGACTACATATTTTGACACTAATTTACAACCTATTACAATATATCATAGTCAGTAGTTCATATAATATGCTAACTGTATGCTGAAAATATAAAAAAGTCAATACTCTCATAGTTTTGAATCTAAACAAACAGAAAATCTATATTAACATATTGCGTCATTGAAAACACCAGCTCGGCTCCATCATCAATGTGAATCCAATGACACCACTACAGAGACCTGCAGCAGCCTTGGGGACTATGCCTTTTAGCCTATTTTCTTTGTCTTTTTTTTATAGACCACAGTTTGTTTAGCTGTAGCGCATCAGTGCCATGCCAGTGGACAAATGGACGTCTGCTCATCTGAACTCTAGTATTGAAAAGAGTGTTTCTAACGCCATGTGACTCACTAACTCATGAGCCTGACATGACAACAAGCTCTGATTCATTATGCATCCAGAGGGGAAGTGTGCGAAGGCTAATTTTAGTTCATCCCTAATATGAAGGTGTAAGGTCAGAGTATTTTTTATTTTATTTTTTTTTTTCAGATGTACTAGGACACAACAACTGAACAACCCAAGGCAGAATTACATGCAAGAATGAAAGTTGCGTAATTAAATGGACAGTGCATATGTTTTGAATACATTTCTGCAGATTGTGGTACACTAATTGCTAAAAATAAAAGGTAAAGCATTTTCTTCATCAGTAACATGTTATGATTCTATACTTATATTTGCTTCAGAATCAGAAATGATATGAAACTAAATTATATTAAAATTTCAAACTCAAAGAAATAGACTCGATACTCAAAGCCACTTGCGATAGCACGGATTATATTAAAAATGCTCTTTATTTAAACAACAGAATGTGATTTTCAACATTAAATAATAGTACCTTCTTATATATAATGTGGCCTTAAATCTGTATAATCCCTCAGTCGTCCAAGTATGTCCCAAAGTTGTCCATGGGCGTATATTTGTTTACAGTATGTGCTCTTATACTTTATCCAATACAGCTCAAGATAATTCTAAAGGTTTTCAGGAAAGGTTTATTTCCGTTCTGTGAATGTGACTTTTTTAGTATTGATACAAATGAATACTAAGGTTCGATTAATATCTGATTTTCAACACTCATGGCAACCCTAATCTGAAAAAAACATGTATTGCTTTTGTCAGTGAACAAAATGTAGTGTGTGTAACGTAATGTGCTTTAGTAATACAGTGTAAGATTTAAACTTTAATAATAAGGCATACATAAAAGAAGGTTTGAAATAATAAATAAGCATTGACTAAGTATAAATATAAATACAAAACATCATATGGACAGAACAATACAAACTATATGTGCAAATAGACAGAGCATTGTTGAAGTGAGTTATTTAAAATGACTGACATTATTTGTCATAAGTTAAGTCAACACATTTAGTTTGACTGTATTTTGTTGCCATCTCGGAACTGTAGTATTTCTTTATGTAATAGCAATATCTCATTCGACACCTAGGATATTATGTATGTATGTATGTTCACATTAGCTTGATGCTAAAACAGTAGTTTTCTTCCCCTCACAGTGAGCTGCGTCCCGTCCTCGATCATAGAGGATGGGAACAGCAGAAGCCACTCTCCGCATGGACAGTATGGAAGTGAAGGACGAGTGGCAGGATGAAGACTTCCCCAGGTAAGAGAACAGCTGTGCATTACTGTGGACTTATTGCTGGGTTTCAGATTACATCACAACATCCAGCTTTTTTCTTCTGGTGAGCTACCTTTACAAAAAGAAAATGCCTACTTATTTTGACAGCCACAATAAATGGAGCATAGGAAAGCCCATAAAATAATAATAATCAAAATAAAAAACTGGGACATCCCCATTTTTTGATGGTTGGTATTAATAAAATTGTGAATGCAGAGACTATTCATGACTAACATATGAGTCAGTATGGTCACATTTTCTTTGTGTTTTGGTGATTTTTAAGCAGCTTTTCTGTATTTTACCTCAACAAATGACAATGTATGCCTCTCTTTACTGTTGGCAGGGATCAAATTGGTCAAACATAGGGACACCTGGGACATTTCTTGTATAAAACTGGGACAAACCAATGGTTATGGATACACCAAAATGAGGTCAAAACTGCGACTCTCCCGGGTAAATAGGGATGTCTGGTCATAGTCATCAAATTTGAGCCATTCAGCACAAATCCCTTGGTGAGCTACTTGGAAAGGGCAGGAGAGCAACTGGTAGCTCCTGGGCTACAGGTTGGAGACCCCTGCAATAGATCCAATAATATTTCATACAGATTGGGGCAAGTCAAATTAATATTGCTCAACTGCAGAGTTTTGTTGTAATATAGCGTGGTCTTCGCTCCAGACAACAACAGAAATGTATTCCATATTTGGGAATTTACCTTTCCAATACTTCATGGCAAACTACAGTGTAATGCAATGCAATAGGAAAAACGATCTTTTGCACCTGCTTGCACATCTGAATTAGAAAATAAAGAAATAAAGCAAAAGATGTCAGCCTCTAGTCTCTTAAACTATAAAGGCATTTTGGCTCTTCGATTCTATACTACCCCAATACTTAAGCCAAAGATGTTCATTTTGTCTTCTTATGTACATTAACTTCTTGGGTTCTCTTTTAAAGACAATACAGTAAAGTGTATTTACCTTGTTGACATGTTTTGGCTGAAGATGGCTTGCAGCTAGCAGCCAAAACTTGTCAACAAGGTAAATACACTTTACTGTATTGTCTTTAAAAAGAACCCAAGAAGTTAAAGTTTACCCTAAGACTTTGCAGAAAAATTGTATAAAACATTGAATTTATTATATTTAAGCACATTACATTTGCTCTACATATGTACATTTGAAGTTAGGGGGTTAAACACTTTACTACTTCTACTATTTCACTAACAATTAGAAATTCACATATTGCAATGCCATTGTTTAAATATGTTAAAGGTGTCAGTGATACTAATCAATACTAGTTTTGGATTTTTGGTACTTTTGACAACTCTAAAATGTAGGGATGCAACGATATCCAAATTTCTCAGTATGATATTATCACGATATGCATCTCACTGTATGATATTTATTGCAATATTTTGTAGAGATAGAAGATAATTGTAGATAGGACTCTTTTTTGCTTTTAAAATGCCTTGACAAGGTTTTGGAGTGAATCATTTTCGTCATAATCCCAAGAATTAAAGTAAAAAACATATTTCTTTATGTTGTCTGCACTGAAATGAATCATGGGATATGTAGTTCCCGATGTTTAAAAGCTGTTGCTACTATAAAACCATGCATTTAAGCAAAGAAACTTGTAATTCGATATATTGTGACAGCCCACGATCTTATTGTGAGACTTTTGACGAAATGATATCAATATTTCGGTTATTGTTACATCCCTACTAAAAGGTGCACTATTCTGGTGGTGAATACATTATTTTACAGTAAACATTAAGATCATAAAATTGAGAAAAGGAGAAATATATTATGTTTTTAGTACCTTATAGTCCCTTATAATCATGGTGAATCCCTGTCTCTGCTGTGTCCGTCTGTGTAAGTCTATGTTTGTGCCTGTGACGTCACACCAAACAGCTCCCTTGTCTATACACAGTTGAGAGCAGCTGCTGAGTTTGATGTGCATTTTGTCACATTTGTGCAGACTGATGCAGAGTCAGTGATGTGAATATTGTTGGAGGGAGGCAGGTGTGTGGTGTCCTCCATGTTGCTGCTGCTTCCTGATAACATTGTATTACGTCCATGAAGAGAAAAACAGCCTCCTACACTCAGGATGTGTGATAATTCTTTTAGTGGGAGTGCAAAATCTGTTTTTAATGCTACATTTACATAGATATTACATTATTTGAAGTAGAGGCTTAAAATAGCACAGTATTTTAGTGTGATTTTAGTAAAGATTATCCATCCTCTAAGAATTACATTACATTACATTACAAAAGCTAAATCAATAAACTACTTAATTAGCAGCACACAAGGAACAGTTCTATTCCATATAATTGATTATGGAAAGCTGGGGTCAATTGGAGGTCACTCAGTTAAAACAGAAAGCTCAAATCTAATCAGGAGAAACAACCACACTGTACTAAATACTATAGAGAAAAAACATTTCAAAAAACAGATTTTGGAACACAAGGTCAATAGTAAATGACTATTATAGCAGCTGGCTCTTGTAATCACAGCATGGTCAAGTCATATGGGCAGGAAGCTTTCACAAACCACACTCTACATTAGCTACTAGAATTAATTACAATAATGATTTCATTGCTCATGTTTACAGACTGTTGAAAGAAACCACGAAACCAGAATGCACTTGTTGTGGATTGTGGTTTCACTATGTGGAGCTCTTCTTGTAGAACCAAGCCCAAAGTCCATCAGGGCATTATTTGTACAATTGACTGTATTTTTAGACATCTATGCTAGTGTTTTCCAAACTTTTTTTCTGGGGACCCATATTTTAAAAATCACAAACCTTCGCAACCCAAGTCAATAGACATTATTTGTAAATCATAACATAAAGGTGGATTTGACTGTTATTGAACATTAATGAGGATATTTTATTGTTGGCCGAGTGATCGTGTCTCTCTGAAAAATGAATATTACTCAAGTTTTAAACAATGAAAAACAGTAATTGAACCAGCAATAAAAGGATCCATATGTCGCCTATTTGGACATTAAATGTAGCCCATTTGTTTTTCTTTTCAACATTCAATTGAGCCAGTAATATTGGAACAAAATAGTCACTAGCTCTCTCAAGTGTCAGAACTGTATATTACAGACCTACATGCAGATCGTGACCCAAAAAAATTCTCACGATCCAGTCTTTGGGAAACAATGGTCTACGCTATATGATTGTCAAAATTATTGAATTGGATACTAATTGTTACTAAAATTAGTACCAAAACTAGATACTCATTTAAGCAATTATCAGTGTTTAAAAAGTCACATTCACAGGAAAGAAACTAACCTTTCCTGAATAGGTTTACAGTGATTTTGAGCTGTATCCTAACAGATCATATAGAACAAGTATTTAATGGTGAAATCACATCATAAATTGCTGAAGTGATATTGAGTATTGAGTGTATTCTTAAGTAAGGAAGTAACGATATTCAAATCTCACGGTACAATGTTTTCACAATATACATCTCACGGTACGATATTTATTGCGATATTTTGTGAAGGCTAACAAAATTGTGAATATGCCTTGACAAGACATAATTGAAAGAACTAAGATTTTAAAGTTCTTAAAACCGCTATTTCTTCATGTAGTTTGCACCAAAACGGAGCAAAGGATCATGGTCAATGTAGTTCCCTCTGTTTTTTTAGCTATTGCTGCACCATAACAATGAATTTAAACAAAGAAACTTATGATTTGATATATTGTGATGAAATAGTCTACGCAATGTACAAGGTCAATGTCATTTAAACAGGTTTTTTCATGAGGGAATAACTACAGGTGCAATAATAATGGCATTTTAAAAAGCGATAAACATTTCTGTGCAGTAGGAGTGAGTTTGGTGCCCTAACTTGTTTAATGCTCTAATCCCACATTGCGTCTGTTCAGGGCACTCTCTTAAACCTGTCTTTTATTTACACCTTTCCTAAGCGGCTGCTGGTGAAATAATAGCAGTAATTACCCACAGTGCTCTGGCCTTTGTTGTGTCGTTTAGGGTTGCGTCTGTGTCTATGAGAGCTGTGTGTGTTACTGTCTCACTGTGAGTCTATCCCCCACACTAAGCATTTAACGGCCTTATTCTAATGTCAGGGGGGATTGTGTAATTACAGGTGTGAATTTTCCCAAACAGCCATTTCTGTTCTAGTGGCGCAGCTATATTGCTGTAGATACATTCAGTCTTGTCAGCAGCCGTCTTGATTGTAACATTGTATAATCAAATGTCAATATTTTAAGTTTCTTCTATTCTCATGATCTGTATTACGTTATAATGAAAGATGAAAGTTAGTGTCTTGGAAAACCACGACTGTTGCCTTTGTATTTAATGTCCCACAAATTACAAAAATCATTTACATTTTTTTTGTTTGTTTGTTTGTTTATCTTTTCCAGGCCACTACCAGAAGATGGGGATGGCCTCACAGACAACAGAACCAGTGAGTTAACAAACCACACTCCACACTAGGTCCTCCTCCTGTCAGTCACTCACTTATGGATTATTTTTCTGTGCTGTTTGTGCAGATCCTCCCTCCACTCTGAATGTGGGGGAGACGATGGCACAGAGGAAAAGGCGCACCCTGGTGGCCCCTGACATGAACTTGTCCTTGGACCGCAGTGAGGGCTCTGTGCTCTCAGATGACTTCCTGGAGACTCCGGATGATTTGGACATCAACGTGGATGACATAGAGACTCCTGACGAGACAGACTCACTGGAGTTTATCAACAACGGCAATGAGCTGGAGTGGGAAGGTACAGCAGCCCTTTATATGTGTTGTAGTCATGGTTACTTGGTTACACAATAAAGCTGCATTTGTATTCCTCCTCAGACAGTGTGTTGTTTAAGCAGAACTTTGTGACAAAAATCATTATTTATCATCTAATTATAAAGCATTTTATCACTCACAAGAGCCATATGAGCCACTATATGATGCTTAGGAATGAGACCTGATTGAAAGTTGTGCTAAAGGCCAAAGAAATCATGCATGGGAATACTAGTGATGTGCCAGTTGGCTTGAGAACAAGGTAGATTTAAACACCAACATCCTTTTTTTTTATAGTCTGTAAAATCAGGTACCCCAGCTTTTAGAGTTAATGAGATGAAAACACCACACCACCATTTATTACATTTATTTAGTTTATTTTACAAGGGCCATGTATAGGACCATTATTCAAAGAAACACTGAAGAGATGCTTTGTACCAGATTATAGCTCTCTCAGCTATTTTCCATACATAGTCCCTGAGACATACAAAACACAGAATGCACCATAAAACAATGCACTCTATATACAAATTGTGCTAAAAATTACAATAACAATATATAGTTCTATCCCCCTTCCACCTCACTCCTAGTTGTTAGTTATAAGTTGTTTTTCCTACATTTGTTGGTACTTAATGTTGGTACTTCTGTGTTGGTATTGCCACATAATTATATAGTATTTCACACCATGTTCTCTTCAATGCGAACTATTTTTATGTCATGTACTTGTTCGACCTTGTAAATCTAAAGCTCTGAACCCTGTTGTTTGCAGACGACACTCCAGTTGCCACAGCAAAGCGTCTGCCTGGAGACAGTGAGGAGGAGCGCGACTCTTCCGGAAAACTATGGCGCACGGTGCTGATCGGGGACCAGGAGCAGAGGATCGACATGCAGGTGATACGGCCGTACCTGCGAGTGGTCACGCACGGAGGTGAGGACAGCGCCTGCACAACAAGGGAATAGAACTAATCACACTTTTAATATAGACAGATATACAGTTATGATGGTTTTAAAGTGGAAGTAAATACTAAATCCCCCTTTTTTACTACTAAACTGTAGTATCGTAACTATAGTGTTTCAATAGCAGTATTTACTGTTCCTAGTCATTTTTCGTTTACTTTAGTGCAGACTAGGTACATCTGCAATATGTGCTGCCTTCAGTGGCTTCTCCAATTTCCGGTAGTTCGTGACATCACACAGAACTGCCCTGATCACAGCCAGGTGTTTCTGATACAAACACCTGTCTACAGGGGCGGAGTTTGAATTGTGGACACCTATTCGACCAATCACATTGTTTCTTATAGCTCTAGACCTCTCTTCCCTCCTTACTCTCTTCCTTAGTCCACAGACACTAGCCAGTTGAACCGCTGTATTTGTAAATGTGGTTGTGGGCAGAATTTAGGTGTTTAGCTCCACCTTAAAGGGCAAAAAATTGTAAGGGAATTTGATGGAGTTCCACAGTCTAAATAACCTTACAGAAATAACTTACAAATTTGATTTAATCTGTTGGACAATGATTGTTCAAATACAAAGGTTACTACAATCCACTGATAGACTGACTTTTGTAATCTCTTTTATAAATCAGTTCAATAAATTTTCATACTCTGTCCCTTGTCTCTGTCCTCTGTCCTTCCATCTGTCTGTCTCTCAGGTTATTACGGTGAAGGCCTGAATGCCATCATCGTGTTCTCGGCCTGTTATCTTCCTGACAGTAACTGTGAGGACTACACATACATCATGGAGAACCTCTTCCTGTAAGAGCCTTTCTCCTCATTATGAGCTCACTCCAGCAGCCTGTTTAATGGACCTGCCTGGGGACAGTGTTCTTTTTACACTCAACATGTCAACTTCTGATCAGCTAGATGTATGTGAATGGTTTTATACACAACATGGGTGCCTGTTAGAAAATAATTCTGTTGATTACTACTTGGCAGCTGATGTGATAACCTAAACAGGACCATTAGCAATCATATTGATCACAGGCTCCTTATTTAAATCCATTTAGTATTTTTTCAGACTATTTAAAAACTTTTTTGACAGGATTTGCCTATATGGTGAGTGCTGTACATCCCCCAAAACAGAACACTCACAGCATGATGCCACTGCAAAGTATATAAGTGAAATATTGCTGTATGCTTAATTCTGACATTGTATGGTTTGCGTTCACAATATTCTACAATTGAATTTCATATTTTCAGATGGAGGACAAGGGCCAATTTAATTATGGCTTATTTACTGATTTTGAATGAAATATTCACATCTTGGACTTTATTTTTTAAGAATCTGGACCACATTTTAAGAATCCAGTCGAGATATTTACCATACTAAACTTGTGACTTAACATACTTTCATCTGACAATAATCATACTTTATTTGAATAATGCCAAAATAGTAGTTCTAACCTGTAGGAATGTAATGATATCCAAATCTCTCGATACGATATTATCACGGTATGCATCTCACAGTACAATATTTATTGTGATATTTTGGAGAGGTTGATATAATTGTAGATAGGATGTTTTTTTTATTTAGATTTTAATATACCCTGATAAGTTTTTGTTGTGAGTTATTACTGTCATAATCCCAAGAATTCAAGTAAAAAACATGTTTCTTCATGTTGTCTGCACTGAAATGAATCATGGGATATGTAGTTCCCGATGTTATTAGCTATTGTTACCATTTTAAAAATGCATTTAAGCAAAGGAACTTGTGACTCGATATATTGTGACAGCCCATGGTATTATTGTGAGACTTTTGACGATGCAATATCATGATATTTCGCTTATTGTTACATCCCTACTAACATGTACTCTTCCTCAATGTAAACTATCGGCAGCTGGATCTAAAATGCTGTGATGCTATACAAACACAGCCTTGAAAGAGTGAATGTTTGTTTTTCAGATATGTTGTAAGTAGCCTGGAGTTACTTGTGGCAGAAGATTATATGATCATTTACTTGAACGGAGCGACACCGCGTAGGAGGATGCCCGGGATCAGCTGGCTCAAGAGATGCTACCAGATGATTGACAGGAAGTAAGAGACACACAGTAACACAATTGGATTAAAACTAACTCAAAGTGATACCTTATTTGACACATTTTCAGGCTAAGGAAGAATCTGAAGTGTCTTGTCATCGTTCACCCGACGTGGTTTATCAGGACTGTCATAGCCATCTCCAGACCTTTTATCAGGTGAGCAAACAACTGTGGTGGCATCTAAGAAAAAAGGGGAAAATTAATATGTCTTTACATTAGCAGTATAATGCATTAATATATTCCCAAATCACATTAAAATAAATATTGCAATATTTGGTTCTCTTCAGCATATTGTGCATTGTTAATTCAATCAGAAATGCATCTTGATTAGAAATAGGACTGTGTAATATGTAAATCGTAGGGCTGCAAGTAGTTTTTCTTTTTTCTCTAAGTCAAAAGAATTATTTCTATTGTACATTAAGATTAAAAAACAAACAAACAATAATAAAATGGAGGAAATATGGTGACTGAAGGCTTCTAGATAGATAGACAGACAGTACTTTTTCCTAACACTATAGAGATATTTAAATAAAATCCTGTAAGAGTAGTAGTAACAGGGTTCCTTTTCACAGATAAAATTTCAAAACTTTTCTGTGACTTTTTCATGACCTAAAGTGAATTTTCCATGACTTTACAGCACCCTACATGTGCAGAATTGAGCATATTTTTTGGACTAAATATGAAATGTTAACCCTTTCCACTCACCTTATGGTTTATAGTTTTTAACATTCAAAATACTGTCAGTGCATTTATTGTTGTCTCTTTTAAACAAAAGGCGCAGATGTTCGGAAATAATCATAACAGCCTAATGATAACTTAACAGAACGCTGCAGTTACATGAAAGAGATACTGAAATGTCATGACTTTCATTTGACTTTTCCTGGCCTGGAAAAAGACATGTTAAATTTCCATGACTGTGGGAACCCTGTAGTAATTTCACATGTTTATTTTGCCCAAACAGTGTGAAGTTCCTGGATAAGATTCGTTATGTTCAGACCCTGGAGGAGCTGAGTCAGATCATCCCCATGGAGCATGTGCAGATCCCCGACTGTGTGCTGCAGTAAGTCATTGTCGCCACCAAGGAGCGCTGTTGAGACACATTCTCAGTGTGTGTGAGACCCTGCTAGAGTTACAGTACAGTGTGTAACGTTACCCAAACTAAAGAAGACTAATCTTGGCAACACACTTTCTATTAACTAATGAGTTATATAACGACTCATAATAGACTTCTGTTCCAGGTACGACGATGATAAGATCAGAGCACAAAAGGAAAGGTGAGCATGTCCTTTCAAGATCAATTATTTTAAGGTTTGATATATAACTTATTTAAAAAATTATCCATATCTATAATATGTATGTTATTTCTTATTTTTATTCCCTTACAGACTTGACCAGGATAAGCAGGCAAATCCAATACCAGCTAAAGAAAGGTGAAATTATTATCAGTTTAATCACTTAATGCAAACATTTTAGTGCTACTCTATTTTTCACAAGCCTGTTATGTAATTAAAGCTCATCTTCTTACTTACAACATTCCTAACATTATATTTTCAAGTAATAAAATCTGTTTCCAAGATGCCAAGACGTAAATATATCTAGCCATATTAACTCATCTTTAGACATTTGGCAGTTGTAAATGTGTTAATATAATAATCAAGTTAGCAACAACAGCCCCAATTCTGCAAGGAACCTGAAGAGTGATTGAGTGTTGCTTTAATTAGTCTGACCCACACTTCTGGCATCTCAAGTGAAATCATGTGAGGGCTGCAGAAAGCACAGCCTAATATGGACTTTGTGATAGTTTGTGTTTAATGTGTGACTTCCAGGCCCAAGTCAATGATCGCTGACGTGAGCCGCGACATCTGACATTCAGGTAAGGGCCATGTGGGGCGACAGACTCCTCCATCATGTTTATGTGTAATGTCAAGCACCGTGTAAGTCAGTGTGCATATATAAGATAATATTTCCTCACCACTCACACGCACAAACTGTACTGAACTGTAGGCTGAAAGATGGACATGTAGGGCATCTCCATCACTGACCCGTCGGTCAGTGATGGAGATGGTCAAGACCTTTAGGCTCAAATGTACTGACCCAGAGACACTCACATGACGTAGGTTAGGTCAGCCTGCTTAGGAAAATGTTCAGTAAGTAGTATTATATTATTACTGTATATTCATTGAAGTTTATTTCTATATGTTAGGGCAGTGGTTCTCTTTTAACGCCATATACTACAGTATATACAAAAGGATTGGGTTTTCCGTGTACAAGCCGATCTAAACCTGGTCTCAAATTGGACTAATTTCAGGTCTAAATTGGGGTTAAATCAGGTGGGACTACAACAGGAGGATCAAAAAATGAATAGACTCTAAATCAGACATGTGAAACTCAGGCCCAGGGGCCAAATTTGGCCCACGATATAATTATATCAAATATGTATTAGAGCTGGCCCGCCAGCTATAGATAGGATATAGAGACATTATTTATTTAAAAGTTTGTTATTATTTTACATTATGCTTGTTCTGGATTCAGTGTTTAAGCAAAACTATTATTAAACATTTATTTTAATAAGAAAAGGTTTAACGTTACATATCCTGAAAGAAGAGAAAACATGCAGATGTTGATGAAATTTTTCAATAAATATTTAGTTAGGCCACGACTTAGTCCCAGTTTTTAATTTTGACCCTCTGTGAATTTGAGTTTCACACCCCTGCTCTAAATGAATAATATTAGAACCAGAGGTGGGTGTCTGTCAGATTTTGTGCATTATTTTAAGTATTGTCCCCGTTTAACTTTACATTTTAAATTAGATGTTATGTTACTCTTATTGATTAGTACTTTTCCCAAATATTTTTATTTTTAACTTTACTTTACTTTTCTTACTTGAATACAATTTTTGCCACTCTATCCACCTCTGATTAGCAGTGCAGAGGATCTTTCGTAGTGTACATGTACCACAGTTTGAGAAACATGTGTTAGGCACATTTTATTAATTCACCAGGGGCCATTTTTATACAAATGTATAAGATGTATATGTAAAACACAAGCTTTTAGAATCCCACCTATTGCAATCTAAATGTTTAAATATGTTAAAGGTGCACTTTCTGTGACTTGCTTGTCTTCATGGAGATGATATTGCGATCCCTCGAATGCTTCACTTATGCCATTACACAAATCTGTCTCAGTGTCTCCATGGAGACAGGCAGGTGATGAGACCAGGCCAAAGAACAGGTCAGGTCTGTGCACTGTCAGTAAGTGTGAGGCTAATCTAAATAATACATTTCACAGCTGATTTCTAGCTTTGTTTATGTTCTTCATCCATCAAACAAGAGGCAAAATGCATATGTTTAATCACAAACTCAAATAATGTAGTGTGTAAATAATGTAGTAATAATCTATCATAACACAGAATTATCAGTGTTTGCCTCACCAACTCTCGGTCACCTATAACGCTAGTTTAGCCTAGCCTAGCTTCTTAACCTTGTACACTTTCTGTCACACTTATAACCTTGTTAGTTAGCCGTAAGCTTGTCTGTAATTTTCTGTCATCTGATGCGACTGCTGAAGTGACAATCCCATACTGTGGCATACAAAAAGTTCCTAAAGTATATAATAATATTTAAAGTTTTCAGTGGCGTGCCATGTGACTTTTAATCCAATTCCAGCAATAGCGATCATAACTTCTAATGGTAGTTATGACTGCTATCCGCACTTATTCATTATGTCTGAATTCTTATGACCTGTGCCAAGTCATGTTTAAGCTTATATTTCTCCATGTCGGAGGCCAGGAGATGTTCTCCTACACTTAAAATCAGATTCCCTCCTTACCCAGTGTTACATAAACCACAGCTGCTCTTCTCCTCTGGCCTCTCCCCACAGAACCAGTGCAGGTTATTTTTAATCCGTCAGCCACTAACGTCTGGCAAATTGATCCACACTGCACAGTTTGTTCTGAAATATAGGGGAAAATGCCCGCACAGTTGGACCAAGTGGTTGTAGAGTCCAGTCAAGTTATTTTAAAGCGCCCCTATGTGCCACACTGCACTTGGACTGCTCCTACCCCCGTCATATATCAAGGCTATCACCCGCGACAGGCTGACATCTCAGGAATGGACTGACAAAATGCCAGCAGTGGGAGAGCGGGGGATGAACCTGAGATGCACTGTCATGTTGGAACAAGGACAAAACTCAGACTTCAATGTTAATGTAAAGGATTAGGTGTGTGCTGTTCAAATAGCAATGTACTTCACTACACAGAATATGCGGAAAAATGCGTTTTTATACTCGAGGTTATGGTCGCTACTTTTTTAGATGCTTTCACGTTGTATTTCAGATTAGATAGCTGCTGATTAGAACTAAATCTGTTAACATTGTTTAAGAGTCCAGACTGGACATTCAGAAAGGTGATCTTAATATGTTTTGACAGATTAATGACATTAGAAGAGCATGAGGATACACACAGCTAAAGTGATTTAGTGGCTGTGCTAACTGTGAATAATATCGGCAGATATTGTTGCTATTGTTGTTGTCATTTTATTATGATGTTGTGCAGTTGTCATGGAGCTAGACTAAACTCCTGTGTGTTTCCGTTGCAGAGTGCTGGGCTGATGACCCTCAGGGCTGATCTCAAGCATCATCATCTTGAACGTCTTATGCCGTGTCACATTTCCTGACCTGAGCTGTGGCACAGTCAGGACAATCATTTTAAGGCATTGGTTTTAATGACACGCTCACTTTCATCGTGACATTTGAATTGTACCAAAGTATTAAATTCATTTCACAGTTTCTGCTCGCCGCATGTCATCTTCAGTTTACTCATAGCATGGCTTTAATTAGGTAAACAAGAAGCTAAACACTAGAGGTCTGACCTAGTATTTGAAATGTACATATTGTAAAATATTTTGAGACCGCTGTTTGCACAAATGTTGGATTTGAAATGTTCTGGTATTGTTTTGTTTTAATCTTATCTTTAAAAAAAATACAGTGCAATGAAAAGAATTTTTTAGACCATCTATAGATGTTACTGATGCAAAATGCATTCTGCACCATTGGATACGCCGGTGGCATGCTCGTTTATGTGGTCTGTCCAGTTTCTCTGCCAAGTTTTGTCATTTGCCACTATCATGGTTTGCTTATTATCAAACAATAAGGAAAATACTGTACATTATAGATCAAATGAAAATTATATTTAAGGAAAGCATCATGAATGAAAGTATTATTTATGAAAAAGGTGCCATTCAATGTTTGTATGAAATAAATGTAATCTGTTCAATTATTATGTGCTGACATGTCTTAGAATAGCCTCCAGACACAAATGACAGACCTTGGTAATCCACACTCATTTATTTATGAACCAGTTTGGATTGGATATTTCAGGGTCACCAAAACAAAGAATAGTTCACCAGTCGGTACTCAGATCAGGAGGCTGCTCCTTTTGGACCACTGGACACTGGAATAGTTATAATACTTATACTTACTATAATATAATACTTATAAAAACTATGCAAATAATGAACCTCTCATTTAGACATTTTGGTAAAACATGAATAAAACATGAAATGAGTGCTTCTGTTAAACATACTGTTACTGTCACTTCTTGCTAATCTTCATGACGGGCAAACCAACATCTGTGTGTTAATGCTAACTGAGCCTATACAATCACACAGGCGACAAGCTCCATTCAGCCAAAGACACTCAGAGCTATCGCACACTTGTGGTTGCACATGGATCATCACATGGTGTAAATTCAGCACAGACTACTGTTTTACACAGTTGGGCATTACTCACATAATGAGGCCTATAATATATATTCAAATGTATTATTAATATAAAGAGTAAGCACATTGTCATTCCATGATGTCAGCCCCTCTTCTACACATCCTGATAAGAGCACAGGCCATGTGTTGGAGCCGAGTCAAAGTTTATTACACCTTTATACAAACAGAGATAGGAGCTCCACATAAAAGACGTGAAAACACTCACTTCAGTGATAAGAAGCCCTGGCTCCACTCTCACATACAGACTTGTTCTGTGGTCACATGGAGAGTGGCCATCAAGTCTGTTGCATTAGAAGCATGTGTGACGCAGCAACTACACATACAACAGCAGCTAAAAATAGTGATACCAGTTTTTGCCGACCCAGAACTGTCTAAGACTGGAAATTTCCTTTCTCAAAAGCTAAATAATGTCCCTCTGACTGATACAACATACTTATGTAAAGACTGTGACTGTGTCTTTTGTGATTCATGTAGAGAATATGGCTTATAACGCTTATAACTCAGACTTCTCAAAGGCAAATCTCTCTGGAGATATGTTACCACCAGATAATAACTGTTAACAATTTGAAGAAAACAAAATCAAGTGTATTTAGTTGTACTCAGAAGTTTTATATTTTTATAAATCCAACTAAAAAATAATTAGAGTTCAGGCTTTTGTCCACTAAATGTTTGAATCATGTGAAATAGTTTACAGTTGGAAGGACTAACTGTTTGGATAGTGTTCAATGACTTCTGATAGCAGGTGGAAATTTTAGCCTCCAGTCTCATGCAAATGTGCTGGTCCAAGCCCCTCTGGTCCCATAGGTGCAGCGCAGGCTGCAGAGGGACCTGATTGGCTGTGAGACAGGAGTCTGATTGGCAGAGCTGGCTCGGGGCTGTGGCTGCACGCTTTATAAACCCAGCACACAGATCCTCTATCAATGAAGTAGTAAAAAGGGGGGACATTGTGGCAGAGAGGACAGAGGGAAAGGATTTGTTTAAAGCCTTTAGGGAGAATTTGGCTGGGTTCCTCCTTTTTTTTACTTGATTCCAGAGGTGACCAACACAAAAACTACTAACTCAAAATGAAGATCATTATCGGCATTGGAGGGTAAAGTATTTGGCTTTTCATACAGTATCTCTCTGTTTGAATATCCATATTAAGTAATATATGTGCTGTCATTACAGTGTGACCAACGGTGGAAAGACCACTCTGACTAATCGACTGCTAAAAACATTACCCAACTGTTGTGTGATACATCAAGATGACTTTTTCAAGGTAAGACAAACTTGAGTTTGGGTTCGCCATAGACACTGTAGTTATTTATACCTTAGCTATTTTTTTCTCCAACTGTAGTTTAAATATAAGTGATTAGTTATATTTTTGGTAGCCTTTAACTTAGAAATAACACACCAGTCTGACCTGCGGATGTCTTGTCATCGCAGTGGCCTAGTAATAAATCTGGCTGATTGTCTCCTGGACAGCCAATCGAAGGGCTGAGCGTCCCCACTTAAAGTCAGACTTTTTCAAACAGGGTTGTTTTTACAGCAACCGCATTTCTGCATGAATATTAACCTTAACTACTATTTCAACTCCACACCATCTGTGCTCACAGACATGATAACGTAAGGCTCAAGGTTAGCAAGTCCTCAGAGCACAGAAGAGTTAGGTCTGGACTGGCACTAGTGCAGTGTAGCCCGCCTCATGCCCAAAACAAACCCTCGCGACCAACACCGGGAATATAGTCAAAGTCCGAATTGAAGTCAGAAGTGAAGTCAGTTTTCAGCGAAATATCTCCAGAAAACAAGTGTTTGGGCTCCACTGTGGTCTAACTGTTCCACGTTCCTTCCACTTCTCCATCTTAACACTCATCAATAAAAATAAAATCATTCAAGTCAATTAAAACCCTTATTCATCAAATAGAGAAGCCACAGTGACAATTCTCCTTCATTCCAAATCCACTTTCCACTTTTTTGTGCGATAAACCTTTCGATACATCTCCTGATGTCATTCGTTTTGCTCGCGGACTTTTGGTGGAGATAAGTCCTTGACTTGTCCTGTCCAGGAGGGATCAGCTCCGACTGGTTACTAGGTTGCCGCAATGTTTTTGTTTGTGACTGGTATTTCAGAAACCCAATCAAATAGAAGTCGGGGACGACGGCTTTAGACAGTGGGATGGTAAGAATGGATTTCGCTTAGGAAAACCATGCAGTAAAGTACTTTTTCTTTCATGCACATTTTGATTTGGTAACCCATCAATCCTAAATTTGCTAAAGTAATGTGTGAATGCTACAGTCATTCACTAAATGACACAGCTGAGTTAAAACACAGTGAGAACTGTTCTGTGCTGTGTAGTCATTCTGGGATCTTTTGCTCTTTCCTTGTTGAATCAGTGATCACTGCCCTGGACATGGAGGCCATGGTGAGCACTGTCAAAGGCTGGCAGGAAAACCCGGTCAAGTTTGCCCGCTCCCACGGAGTCAGCCTTACGCCCGAAGCGGAGCTGGACCCAGAGAGAGGCATCCACATGCTCATTGTGGAGGGCTTCCTCATCTACAACTACAAGTGGGTCATTAAGCATCATGTTACACCCTCTCCATTTGTCTCATCTGCACAGTGTTCAACTCTGTCCATTTTACAGGCCTCTCCTGGACATCTATGACAAATGTTTCTACATTTCCATTCCTTATGAGGAGTGCAAAAGGAGGAGAAGGTAACAGCTATCTGACACACTGAGTGTTAATGCACAGTTAGATGTGTGGGCTCTGCTCTAACATGAGGATTTTGTTTCTGCAGTACAAGGACATACACAGTCCCTGACCCCCCCGGCCTGTTCGACGGCCACGTCTGGCCCATGTATCTGAAGCACAGGAAAGAGATGGAGGACAACTGTGACAGAATAGGTACTCACTACATGCTGGAACATTCAGACATGATGGATCTACCCCACCTACTAATGGTCATGGCTAAATCATATCTGACATTCAACATAATGGACACAAAATATAGACAAACCAACTGCACCAACTGTAGTAACACTCTTTTGTCTTTCTCCTCAGAGTACCTTGATGGCATGACATCTAAGGATAACATCTATAACTCAGCTTTGGAAAGCATTCAAAATGCCATCCAGAACAACTTATAGGTAAAGCTCAGGGTCACTGCTCAGTTTGACCTATGTCTTCACTTTATGAAAATTAACATTGTGTGTTTCCTCTCTGCAGCAGGACGGGATGATAGCGGCCCTGTGTATATTCTTGTAAATAAGATTTCGTGTGAATGTGTAACATCGGTGATGTACTTGCCTGAATGATTTGTAAATAGTTAATCAAGTAACTTATTAACAGCATAATAGCAGACGCTTTATGTTTTGTATAAACATGTGTAACTTTTTCTAAATGATAAGCCACCTCTGGACTGCTCAGTTTGTGACATCACATTATTATAACTATTATTATTATAATAATTATTCTAACTCTGAACTGAGTGTATCTGAAACAAAGTCCCACTGGGAACATGTTTCCCAAGATTTAAAGAAACTGCTAAAACTACTCCACTGCCTCCTGTTCTTTGTACACATACACAACCAAAACACTTTAAAGAGTTATAATAATAATTTTAAAAAATATATATAAAGGTATACAAAGTATACCTACAGTATATAGGAATACGCATATTTTGTATACCTTTAAATGGCAATCATTGTTTCATCATAGCAAATAGTTATTAGCACAGACTATACTTAAGCATGCTGTAAATGAGGCTAAAGTGTAAGTACAAATATTATTATTGGAACAGTACGTATTCCATTCATTGCCACATGAGTATACATTAGTCCCTATCTAGAACACTTATAGTCTTTGTAGTGCTGAGTTATGGTAGGAAATGATTCCACTCTAAATATGTGTCCCCTGAGCACAGATACAGGGAATGATTGTTCTCTGGAGGTTTAGTGCCATCATAAACCTAACAATGAATAACAATGAATCATTTCCCGGACCAATATGAGGGACTGGAGAAATGCCACCCAGTTCATTATGTTCAATGAGCATTTTATTTTCTAAACAAAGTATAAACTCAACTCATGAGTTTAGATGGACTGGATTAGATGGATTAGTTAAACTTCATTTCCAGATCCCAAATGCATGTTTCAACACAACAAGGTCATCCCCATACTCCTGTGCATTGCTCAAGGGCAAAGTGGACTTCTGCTGTTTAAATATAAATTTTGCTCCTCTGGCTTTCAAAATGTACTCCTAAATATGAGCTGTGCATAGGAGAGCAGCAGTGCTTTAGTGGGCAGCCACTGAAAGGACCTTAATTTTTATTTTTATTGACATGTGAAAAGTCAAAGCTGGTGAATTCTATTCTGTTAACACACTAACCTTGACAGGAGACTGGAATGTGACTGTCTAACAAAACCACACTCACTAAGTGTACATAAGCACCTCTAAGTCACCTTTGATTTCACACCTGCTCACCTCACATACACAGAGAGGAAATATGCAGCGCGAGACCTGGCAGAGCCTATGGAGCAGGGGGCGCTGTGAAGGGCCCTCGTGGTCTTGTGATGCCAAGTTTGACATGCCAACAGCTGGCTCGGGACACAGAGACGCTGGCGTGTCCAGTTTATATTTAGGCTAAGTGCTCCGGGTGTCAAGGGAGTATATTTTGAAAGAGTTGCACAGCCAATTACTGATTGCAACACAAACCACTTGACTGGGGGCTGGCCTGGTCTGACTCAGTGGCAGATGTCAGCACATAGAAAGGTGAGAATGAGAGGAGGGGTTCACACGTCACCGTCACCCTGGAAACCCCCAAAAGGGCAGCCGGGGCAGCCATATTTGGTCCAGGCGATAGGACATCTGAGCGCAGTAGTCACATGTTTGATAGAAGCCTCCCGTGAGAGCCAGGGCGCGGGGAACAGTTGTGTCCAGGACTTAAACAGTATTTATGGGGCAGAGCTGCTCTACTCTGACAAGTCAAGACTGCAAATACTAAAATACAGCAAATATTGTTGAGCCAATTTCATTTAAGTTTGCATTTATGACACATACTATATCTATATATACTATAAAAAACTCTCTAATGTTTTATTATGAGACACATAAATTACACTATAAAATATATGAACATATAAACATGTGAAAATGTTTCCTTTTAAGAATTTTTTTTTTATTATCTATTTCTATTTGCTTTTTATATAGATGAAAATAATTATACACTCTACCATAACAACTAACAATTGCTTATAATAATTGTAAATTGTATTTCTGTAGAGAAGTCAATTACAGGGTGACACTAACTGCACTACTCATAAGATTTTAGACTTTTACTACTGTCACCTGCATTGTAACTGTATGTGTACAAACAGCTTATGGCTTCAATGATTCATAGGACCGCTGATACTGTATCAGGACACTTATCTCAAAGGTTATTTCTGAAGAGATATGCTTGCAGGCACAACTTCAAAAATCATATATTAACCACAACGCCTACTATAAGTAAGTCACATGTAGCCCAACTAAAACGTGAAGGCACCTGAAACATGAGTTGGATGGAGAGTAATTTAGCGATGGTTGATAAGCACAAAGTCATGATTCACACACCGCTCCATAACTCACAGTTACATTGACAGACAAGTGAAAAAGCACAGACCAGCACCTCACACACACTTTATCCCACAACATATTCACATAGTGCATTATTTTGTCATGATTTTGCACATCTCACCTGCATTGTCTTCCCATGCTCTGCAGTAAACCATCTGGATCTATCTTATATCCTCAGATAGGGGCCCAAGGGAAGACAAAGTGTATATTCCATCGGTTTCTTGTTGAAGTAAAACCATTTTAAGACCATCATCTTTTCTTCTTTTAATCTCAAAAGGTGTGAAGTGAACAGCCTGGATACCTAGGTTTATTCAAAGCGTAGAAGAATTAGTCTGGGGAACTCCTTGTTGATTCCTTGAAGTTTCTCCTGCTGTAGTGTACCATGAAAGCAACCACAAATTGTAGCTCATTCAGTTTATTTCCATTCACAATTCAAAAAACTAATTTACAACATTATACTTGTGTTAACACATGTTGTGGTTTGTTTTTATTTCACACAATAAATGTTCAATGTTATCGTCAATACTTACTGATTACATTTAGTAGCTTAAAAGTCCTGCTCTTGAAGTCTTGTGCCAAACCAGTCTCCAAGATCCGGGGCTCTTATAAATGTGGACCATGGGACCTTTGAGCGAGGCGGGTCTACAGGGATAAGAATAGCAGGCCAAATGTGCTGCTGCCGTATTTGGATAAGGAAATGTACACCGCCGCCTTGTCCTGTAAGATATCCAGAAATGTGTCTGAGAGGTGACCTACTTTAAACAGCCAGACTTCCCCTAAAAATGGAAAGATTAAATGATATATTATCAGGAGGTTGTAGATATAAAGTTTCTCTCAGTGTTTAATTTGTATTGAAGACTTCCCATGTAGGGACATTTGCTCTTTGCATGTGGTAGTGTGCATGTTTTAGGTTAAAGGTTAAAGGGAAACCACCTCTTTATTAATGTGAGTTTATTTGTGTCACTAGGAGCTATCAAAGTTCTTTTCCTTTGGCCACAAGACATTTTCTGATACGGGATCCTGGATAGCAATCATCATCAGCATTTCTTAATGTAATAATTATTTACATGTAGGCCGGCCTAATAAGAAGAAGATTAAATTGTGTCATGTTAAGATTTTTTATTATGCATACAAGTGGAGCATCCTTAGAGCATCAGAATATATGAATAATTTTACGTGAGAGTTATTTTGGTGACACCTAATGGTGAGGGTGTAGAAAAGCATTAAGCTCGTAGAAAGCAGGTTACGCTTTTTAAATCTTTACATGGTCCATTAATTATGGATCAGGGTCAAGCGACTTGATTTATCTGATGCAGTAGCTATTTTAAATTGTAGTGAATTTCCAGTACCTTTTATAACTGCTCACCTGTCCATGTGTTCACGGTGTGGTGCGGAGGGAATACACAGTGGAAGAACAATAATAATCTGGAAACATCTGCTGCACGTTCTCACGTTCATTCTATCACGTAGCTCGGCCACAGCGCGATCACCGCCCATTAACACGTGGGCTCAAATTAAAACCAAACTGCAGCCCGATTAATTGTCTTTTGACATTGAAAACATCTGGAAAAAACTTGTGCAGTGGGTAAAGAAATGTGAGTGTAATATATATATAATATTGTTGTATTTTAGGTAGTAATTTCATTAACGAGGTTACAATAGCCTGGAGATACAGGCAAAGGTTTCATGACGCTCTGGTCGAGGCAGAAATAAAGGCACAGTGTCCTCTTGTGGTTAAGATGACAAACTGCAACAACCTAAAATAAATTTGAAAGGATGGTGGCAGCCCCCATTTAATTTATCAAATCCTGCAAATCTTTGGAATGAATATTGCTGTTTCATGTACATTGTTGAGAAATGTTTTTCTTGGATTAATGAAGATTAGTACAGGGTATAATATTTTACCTTATGCTATCTTGTTTTAATTATGTATCTCTCTCTTTTTTTTTTTTTTTTATGTAACATATAGGCTGAAATAAATAGGCTTAAAATCCACCTTCTGTATACGTAATATTGTGCATTCTTCACAAAACTGGTCTTCATATGGGCTCTTTTCAGTTGACACCTGCGCGTAACGTTTGCTGAACAAACCCGGCGCGGCCACAGCGAGGGATGGGTTAAAAGTTCTTGTTTAAAAGTTTGACTTAGTGCGTAAGTGACTGGACAGAGTTCGTTAAACTGACCAGAGCAGCCTTCAGCCCTCCTCTTCTACAGACAGACCTCCTGGGAACTGATATGTTGTGTATTAGACACGAAGCTGGGAGGCTGCGTTTCAACCGCGTTGACAAATCCGTGATACATGTCGTGAGCTGACTTCTGCTTCGAACCACAAGGACTAGTCTGTTTTACTGCAATGGCACAATGGACACTTTTATTTCTCTCCTTTTGTCAGGCATTAGCTCCACTCGCCAGTGCGCAGGCTCAACGCGGGGGCCCATGGAGACACAGGATCCAGTGGGAGAATAACGGCCAGGTGTACAGTTTAATGAGCACGGGCTCACAGTACCAGGCTCCAGGACGATACAGGGGCCCATCCCGGCTTTACGTGAGCAGCAACGGCCACCAACTTCCCGGGTTGCACAGACCAACCTCACTGTACAGACCAGCACAATTTGCAGCTCCTTTCCAGTACGCACCGGTCTCAGCTCGTGCGTCAGGGGCCAGACTTACGGAGCGCCCTGTGCGTGCAGGAACAACTGGACTTCAGGGCACTCCACAGTTCACAACCACGAACGCTTCTGCAGCCGCGGAGACTGAAACTGGATTAGCAAGGACTAGTGTGGACCCATCATCCCAGCACACCAGGAGCGAACAAGTAACCCGTGCCCAAAGTCAATCTTTACGCACGGTGCCAGAACCTGTCATTCGTGCGCAACAGCAGCCGTTACGCACGGTGCCGGAGTCACTGACACGGACACAGAATCAACCGTTAC